GTCAAATGTACCCAGCTTTAATGCTTTCCTAGTCTAAAGTTATAAAAGAATTCCTCCATGTTTTATTTAATAATGTTTAAATATTTGATTCATTTAGAACTTATTTTGATGCAAGAAGAAGGGAAAGAATCCTTCTCCCTTTTCTCAATACTCTAGTCAATATACAAAGTCACTATACCCAAAAGAAATGGTCAACGTTCAGCTACTTCAGGAATTGGATCAGGATCAGGAACTGATGGTACTGAAGGGAGAATTCCAAGTTGCACTGAAGACACTGGTGAAAAACAAGTCTCCAGGAATTGATGGAATACTACCCATTGAGATGTTTCAACAAGTGGGATGTCGTGCTGGAAGTGCTCACTCTTTTGTACCAAGAAACCTGGAAGACAGCTACCTGGCCAACTGACTGGAAGAGATCCATATTTATGCCTACTCCATAGAAATGTGATCCAAATGAATGTGGAAATTATCGAACAATATCATTAATATCACACGCAAGTAAAATTTTGCTGAAGATCATTCAAAAGTGGCTGCAGCAGTACATTGACAGGAAACTTGCAGAAATTCAAGCTGGATTCAGAAAATAATGTGGAACCAGGGATACCACTGCTGATGTCAGATGGATCCTGGCTGAAAGCAATGAATACTAGAAAGGTGTTTACCTGTGTTTTATTGACTATGCAAAGACATTCGACTATGTGAGTTGTAACAAATTATGGATAACACTGAGGAGAATGGGAATTCCAGAACACTTAATTGTGCTCATGAGGAACCTGGACATAGATGAAGAGGCAGTCATTCAAAGAGAACAAGGGGATGCTGTGTGGTTTAAAGTCAGGAAATGTGTGCGTCACGGTTGTGGCCTTTCACCATACTTATTCAATCTGTATGCTGAGCAAATAATCAGAGAAGCTGGGCTATATGAAGAACAGGGCATGAGGCCTGGAGGAAGACTAATTAACAACCTGCATCATGCAGATGATACAACCTTGCTTGCTGAAAGTGAAGACGACTTGAAGCACTTACTGAGGAAGATCAAAGACCACAGCCTTCAGTATGGATTACGCCTCAACAGAGAGAAAACAAAAATCCTCACAACTGGACCAATAAGCAACATCATGATAAACGGAGAAAAGATTGAGGTTGTCAAGGATTTCATTTTACTTGGATCCACAATCAACACCCATGGAAGCAGCAGTCAAGAAATCAAAAGACACATTGCATTAGGAAAATCTGCTGCAAAAGACCTCTTTAAGGTGTTGAAAAGCAAAGGTGTCACCTTGAAGACTAAGGTATGCCTGACCCAAGCCATGGTGTTTTCAATCACCTCATATGCATGTGACAGCTGGATGATGAATAAGAAAGACTGAAGAAAAACTGATGCCTTTGAATTGTGGCGTTGGTGAAGAATATTGAATATATCATGGACTGCCAAAAGAACAAGCAATCTGTCGTGGAAGAAGTATGATCAGAACACCCCTTAGAAGCAAGGATGGCGACACTATGTCTCACATACTTTGTAAAGTAGAGGGTCAGCGAAAAAGAGGAAGACCCTCAAGTAGATGGGCTGACACAGTGGCTGCAACAATGGGCTTAAGCATAACGATTGTAAGGATGGCACAGCACCGGACAGTGTTTCGTTCTGTTGTACGTAGGGTCGCGATGAGTCGGAACCAACTGGATGCCACCTAACAACAACAACAAGTCTTCATAATTCTCTTGATAATTCTTGCCTGTTTTATTTATTTATTTTTAAATGATATTTAGGATCAATTTTCTGATTCTAAGAGAAAGGTCTTCTAATTTTGCTGGATGCATTACATCTATAGACATAAATTCAGGCAAAAGTAAAATCTTCATAATACCAAGTCTTCTCATTAATAAAAGCATATGTCTTTTTATTGCTTTTGTCTTCTTTTATGTCCTTCAGTTGTATTTTTAGATTTTCAACTTATAGATAGATATTGCTATATTATAAGTTTATTGTTCAGGGGTATATTTTTTGTTGTCACTGGAAATAGGATTTTTTCTTTCATTTTATTTTAAAATTAGTAATCTGTGTACAAAAAAGACAACTGACTTTTCAGTATTAAGTTTGTACTCGAATACACACACATATATGTATAAACCCTAAAATTATTAAAAACTTTAATCAAGTGACTTTTTATATGAAGATGAAGACATAAGTTTTTCCTATTCATTATTAACTTGGTGTACTGAGTTGAATAGTGTTCTCCAAAAATTCGTGTCTGCCTGAAAATTCATAATGTGACTGTAACTGGAAATAAGGTCTATGCAGTGTAATCAGTTAAGATGTGGTCATAATGGATAAGGGTGGGTCCTCAATCTCTGACTGGTGTCCTTAGGTAAAGACACAGAAATGTAGAGAACAGATGGCCATAAGAAAACAGGGGCAGAAACTGGAGTGATACAGCTACAAACCAAAGAATAGCAAGGACTGTAATCACTAGCAGAAACCCTGGTGGCATAGTGGTTAAGAGCTACAGCTGCTAACCAAAAGGTCGGCAGTTTGAATCCCCCAGGCGCTCCTTGGAAACCCTACGGGGCAGTTCTACTCTGTCCTATAGGGTCACTATGAGTCAGAATCGACTTGATGGCAATAGGTTGGGTTTTTGGGTTATAACCACTAGTAGCTGGAAGAGGCAAGGAAGAATTGTTCCTTAGAGCCTTCAGAGAAAGCATGGCGTTGCCGACACCTTGATTTCAGACTTCTAGCTTCCAAAACAGTGAGAAAATAAATTTCTATGTTTTAAACCACCCAGTTTGTGGTAATTTTTTACAGCAGCACTAGAAAACACATGGCTAATTATATTAATGTGGAGGCAGTGGTGGTTTAGTGGTAGAATTCTCGCCTTCCATGTGGGAGACCTGTGTTTGATTCCCAACCAATGCACCTCATGTGCAGATACCACTCATCTGTCAGTGGGGGCTTATGTGTTGCTATGATGCTGAACAGGTTTCAGCAGAGCTTCCAGACCAAGGCAAACTAGGAAGAAAGGTTTGGCAATCTACTTCTGAAAATCAGCTGAAAAAAGCCCTACAGATCACAACTGGACAGCCTTTCCTGCTGTTGTGTACGGGGTTGTCATGAGTAAGGACCAACTGGACAACAGTTAACAACAACAACAAAGTATATTAATACATTTCCTAATATTAACCATGCTTGCATTCCTGATATGAATTCTATTTGCGTATAGCTAATATCTTTTTATGAGTTGCTGGATTCTACTTGTTAATATTGCAGATTTCTGCAATTATGGATAGAAATGGTCTCTAGCTTTCTTTTTTGATGTTATTTCGTCTGATTTTCGTATCAGCATTAGACTACCTTCATACAAACAATTGGAAGGATTCTTTCTATCTCTGTACTCTGGGAACCTTTAAAAAGCATGAGAGCACCATGACCACATGGGGTTATTTGAGAATTATAGAAACAAAAAAGAAAAACGAAAAACAGATAGATTGGGAAAAAACACAAGTATCACAAAGAGCTAATTTCCATAATACATAAAGATTTCAAATATATCAATAAGATAAAAGGCAATAAACTTAACAGAAAGTACTACATGTTTACACAAATAACGTGTGCCTTCTATGTTTGTTTGCCCGCCATGCCCTCTCCCCGCAAGGTATTTTCATAAGCATGCTATGCTAATTTTTTATAGCATCATGTAAAAAAATTGGCATAGTGGCACTTATGAAAATACCTCACAGGGGGAGGGTGCAGGTGGCAAACAAATCTAGAAGATGTGCGTTACTGCGTAAAAACACGGTAGAGCATAGGACATAAATAGGTAATCAACAGAAAGGGAAATGCAAATAACTCTTCAATGTATGAAAAAATGCTCAACTGCATTTAATAGCATAATAAGATAAATATGTATTAAAACTACTAGTAGGCTGGCAGGGATAAAATAGTTTATATTTCAACATGTTGGCAAGGTGCTGGGAAACCAGGTAGTTTTATACACTGCTGGTAGAAATATAAATTGGTATGACTTCTGTGGAGCATGATTTGGAAAAATTTATAAAACATAAAAATGCACATGCCCTTTCACCTAGCAATTTCGCTTCTATAAATTTATCTAATAGATTTATTTCCCTGTGTATGATATGAAATATTAAAATAGCTAATAATTATTGAGTGCTCTCTGAGGCAGGCAAAATTACTTTCTGATTTCAGAACTGAAAAATCGTAAGGTATGGGGAGGTAGAGTTATTTGCCTAAAATGACACATCTGCTAAGCAGTGGATGTGAAAAACAAAACACAAGTAGGTTTGCTCCAGATTCCTGTGCTGTTAACCATTACAGTATACTACCTTACAACATGTGCAATGATATTTATTGCTGCACTGTACACAACAGCATATATTACAAACAAACATGTATTAATAGATTGCAGATATTTCACCCACACAGTGAAATACTATGCAGCATTTAAAAAGATTGTCTAACCTCTTTCAGTAACTGATACAGAAGGATCTCCAATACATATTAGTTGAAGAAAGCAAACTGCTGAACGTGTAGATTATGCTACTATATATGTAGACATAAAATGAAATAATATAATATGTATATAACCACATGTGCGTGCTTCTTTATGCATAGAATATTTCCAGAATGATATACAAGAAACTGCCAAAATTGGTTACCAAGGAAGGGAAATAGTTGACTGACAGACAGGGATAGAAGGGACACCTACTTTCTACTTTTGTCCAATGTGTATTTTATCTCATCAGTAAAAATATATTCAATAATTTCAAAAATAAAATAAGTGGGAAGAAAAAATAAAAATAAAGAAAAATTTTGCTGTTATCTATTCCTTTTATATACAGGTAATTCACACAAAAATTTATTTCTAGAAATTATTCCACTGCTAACACAAGCTTGAAAAACACTGGACCAAAGAATGACTAATAAAGCTTAATGTTCATGGTAAATACGTGATATAAAGCTTATAGAAAATAGTTTGTCTTACCTGATATGTGCATTACAATATCTCTTGGAATAGTCGGTCCATGTTCCAAACTTTTGTGGAAAGAGAGCTTCGATCTGCATGAAAAGCTGTAATGAAACAATTGTTCTTAATATGTTGTGATATTTTCAAGTAAACCAATATTACTTTGAGAAAACCAGTTAATAAAATAGTAAAAAGTGAAAAAGAAAATCTACCTCTTCTTCCTCAAGGCCCCTCCCTCCCCTTCACCTCCAAATGCTGCCATCCAATTTTTCAGGGATAATTGCTATATGTTTCTTTAAAATATAGCTATATATTTTCTATGCCTATATAATCATTTGCAAATATTCACTTTTACTCATACGAATAGGATCATATTATACATACTGTTCATATTATACATATACCCACTCCTCACTTATTGGCATGGTTATGCTCCAAAGACCAGGTCATTATGCAAAAATTGGCATTATGTGAAAATTAAGGATGACCATATCCGATCACAAAATGGAGGATGACTATATCGTTACATAACTGCCAAATTCCAGTGGAGAATCAAAGAGTTAAAAAGAGATTACAGCCTAGAAAACCCTATGGGGTAGTTCTACTCTGTCACGTAGGGTCATTATGAGTCGAAATCAACTCGACGTCACCTAACAACAATAACAGCATCTAAGTACTGTTACATGTATCTCAGAAGAGTTCCAGGGTGGAGTTCAAAAGCAGAACACAAGTAATACTGGTAGAGGTGGGATGAGAATAACTGTTTTCCAGGCATAGCTTAATAATTAATAATAATAATGGTTACTATATATTGAGTGCTTACTAAGTGCCAGGACACAAGGTTTGGTACTTTCAGAGAAATATTTCCTTTAATTCTCTCACAACTACCCTACAAGACACCAAGCCCATATTTTTTCTACTACCTAGTGTTAATTAATAGACAGGGCCTCCCTAGGAAACACTCAAACTCATCCATAATTTCTCCTTTCCATACCCCACCTACCTCCTCTTAGAGTAATAAAAGCTAAATGGGTATCAAGCAAATGCCTTGTTTCTCCATTCTAAGTAGATGGTTGATCTGGTCTGCATAAAAGCTCTAGTTTCTCCATACCTTCCCAAACACAGATCTTGAAGTGAAAAAGGAACAGACAGAAGCTCTAAAGATACAGTATAATAAAGTTGATTTAGCTCCAACCCTGAGGAGCAAATAATGTAAAATTAGAAAACAGATACAGAAAGGATAAAGATGAACACAGAATACAAATGTGAAAAATATTGCAAATTTGTACTAAATATGAAAATCTTACAATAAAGATAAAAACTATCTTTTAGACATACCTCCAAGCATGCCTAAGGTTTACATGTGAATAAATAAGAAGAGTCACAGGAAAAGGCATATTTAATTAACAGCTCTTAAAAATTCCCTATGTCCTCTTCTGGCATTTAAGGCATCTAATTTGAAATTACAAACTACAAAACAGGTGATTGATTCAGTTCTCCTTTTTCTGAAGCCAAAGCATAAGGATTTTAATACCTCTTCAGGCCTTCCCAAAGCTGGAGTTCCTGTAAGAAGAATGGCTCGTCTGGCTTTCTGTACTAATGGCAACAGAATCTTGCTGCGGGCTGCATTTCTGGACTTCATATAGTGTGATTCATCCACTATAATCACTTTGAAGTTCTGATTATTTAATGCATCTATCAAAGTCTTTGCATCTGTAGTTAAAAGACCATAACCCAGAACTGTCACTTTGCTGGTCGATAGTCTCCTAGAAAAGAAAATCCATGTATTTTCAAACTATTTCAGTAACCAATTTATCATAAATGATATAACTCTGTTGGGAAGAAATACAGAGGAGGAGAAAGGAGAAAAGAGGAAAAATAAGAGAAGATGGTACAGATTTCTCTCAGTATCTGAAAGTAGAATGTTCTAATAAAACCTTTCATAAGCTGAAATGGTGTAAAGTGAAGAAGCAATTACCATTAATTTATACGGGAAAAATTTTTTAGTATTCCCAGACCCCAAAAATAACCTACCAAATCATAACAAGTAACACCTAAAACCTACAATAACAGTAACATATAGTAACATATAGTAAAAGCAGGAATGATATGATAAATACACGGGCTATATAAAGTAGAAATAATGTATTTTGTTACTAACCAAAAGAAGTCCAAACATGCTTTTTGCTTTTACGAAAAAGGGCAAAAAACCAGAAATGGCATTCAGCATTTGTTTTGCAGCGAACCATTAAAGAGGCAGCGGTCTGTATACCTAGTACTATGCTTCTTTACGTACCTGGAAGACATCAGGTAAGCTTTTCTGCCTGTAGCTGACATCCTGTAGAAAAATTATGCTCTGAGGTTGTAGTGGTTTCTAAGATATTTCAAAAGTTATTCAAATAAGAATATTAGCCACTACTTGCAAGAGTGTATTTCCAAAATAATAACGAAAATCATATGACCTAAATACTATTAAAAAATGATAGAGGGGAAATATTTTAAGAAAATTTAGATGTTAGCATTTGAATAAGGTAGAGCTAACTGAAAATGGTTATCAGGCCTTAATAAATTCTGTATTCTTTAAATTTTTAAGTCTTTTAAATTTTATGCAGTTTTATTACAGGAGAAAAGTTTTATTTATAATTACCATCCACATTTTATTTAAACCGTGCAAGTAGTATCCAAATTTCCTTAGTCCAATAAAGACATTTTTCTTTGAGTTAGGGTTCCCAGGGTGAAAGAGAAAAGGCCCTCCATCTACTTTGTCTGGTTATTCCTTCCATATTTACAATGCCAACTTTATTTCTACAAATAATCTTTACGTTACCAGTCTTAGAGAATACCACACTATGCAATAATACCACCACCAAAAAAATCTAACTAAGAATAGACATTTATTTCAGGTAGATATATTGCTTTTTATCTAGGGCTAAGAAATTAATAATATTGAATCCCTGGAAGCAGGATAATTTGCATGATTCACTTAGATAGTCAACATAATGACTTATCAATATTAAAATTGATTGACTCAGTCCAATGGCTGGAAAATAAAATGAAGAAAAACACTTGCTATATTATGATTGATTTTTAGAGTAAAGACCTCAAATAACCACAAATATTTTCAAGATACACCTTCTCCTCACTTATCAACTATCTTGTTATCCAACATTCCGCATTTCAGACAATAGTAAAAAATCTACTGACTATTTTGCACATTAACAACGTATGTCTGGCAGTAATGAATGCTGTGGTGAAACACAAAAGTAACTCTGGCTGTGATAGTTAAGGTTAAGTGTCAGCTTGGCTGGGCTGCGATTCTCAGTGGTTTGGCAGTTATGTAATGAGATAATTTGGCAGTTATGTAATGATGTAGTCATCCTCCATTTTATGATCTGATGTGGTCATCTTCCGTTTCCATATAATGTCAATTTCACACATTGACCTGGTCTTTGGAATCTAACCATGTTGATAAGTGAGGAAAGGGTATATAAAATACTTAAATTAAAAATTAACATAATAAAATCATACTTCCTAGTATTACTTTTTAGTCATACATAAAAGTTCTATATTAACTAACACTTTGAAAGCAAAATCTACCATGGTTGCTGATAATAAAGGCTCACAAAGCTTCAGGTTAATCTATCCATTGAGAAGTCATGAAATATATTTTTAAACCATAAAACAGTCAGTTTTTAAGTATATTTAAGGTATATATAAAGTAAATATATTACATATATCTTTAAAAGTATAAACTTTATCTTTGTTTGTAAAATCTATCAACAGGGAATTTATTAAATTGAATACACTGTTGAACTTTAGATAAATTTTCTTGAAAAATGATTCATATTAAAAAAATTAAAATAAAATTCTGCACTCTATCTCTTAACTACAAATTATGACTTGTTAATGATATTCAGCTATGGGTGTATACTAAATACACACCAGCACACAAGGTTGACTTTTTTTTATTTAGTATTAAAAGTTGTTCTTACCCAACATCAGCTTTATTTTGAATAACAATGATTTCTTCTGGACCTAGCTCTGGAATCCATTTTTCTATTTCTTCTATCCAAGGGTACCTCAGAGATGAAGGGACCACTATTAAAAGAGGCCACTCCTCTTTATAAAAGTAAGCAATTGCAATTGCCTGGATTGTCTTTCCTAGACCCATCTAAGTAAACAAAACAAAACAAAAAAGAAAGGCTAAAATATTTCAAGAGAAAAAATTTAAATATTTTATTTAACAGCAGTATTAGCACAGTAATTTTGTTACATTATAGTAAAATCAACTGGATTATGCAGTTAATAAAATGTTCAAGACTATGATGACCTTTAAAAGCAAATTATATTATTTTTAAACATTTCTGTTTGTACTTACAGAGGCAAAATGACCCCTGATTTTAAATATTAGTTATACTAATTTCATTGCTCTTAATGTTATAAAGCTGTATGTGTACCATCTATAACTTCTGTCCAATGACAGAACCAAAGAATTAAATTCAAAACATTAAGGATCAACCAAGAAATAAGCAGCCATCTTAACAAAGAAAGAATGGATCCCAAACCAAGGAGTTTTAAGTGTAACTCATGGAAGGATTAATCTATCTAAGGAGATAATGTATTGAATACAAAGGTAAGCAACTGAAGAAAAGGGTATAATAAAGAATTTGACTCCACTTTTGCTGTTTGACTGCTAACAGCTCTCAAGTACCACCAGCCCCCCTGCCCCTCTGCCCTAAATCTGGGCAAGCTGATTAGAAACCATTAGTGCTACCTCCTTTAGCAACGGTGGAAATTTCAAACCACTCAAGCCCGCGCTGAGCAGTAAGAATCCTCACCGTAGCCCCACCACTAATCACAATAAAAACCAAACCAATCTCCTCTCCCTGATCTCTCAAGCCATATTTGGACCTGCATGGGAGCCTGCCGTGCTCTCCCCAGAAAGCCTTATTATTTATGTAATAAACCTTCCCATTTCCCCTTGATGCGTGTGATTTTAAATTCTTCTCAAAATACCTAAAGGTAAGTACATATTTTAAAAGTTTCTGTCTAGGGAGAAATAGTCGCATACAATTATCTTCCTTTTTACAAATTGCACCTAGAAATCAGCTATCCTAAGCTATGGTCAATCCTAACACCTGAACCATATTGGTGGAGGAGTCTATCCCATCTCTACAGTCATTTCTTGATATATGTGAATAAACCAGTTTGTAGTTTATATGAAAGATTTTCCATGCGCTTGGTTGCCTAGAGTGAAAAATGTCAGAATCTGGTCAACTTGACATCAATGAAAAGAAAGAATTTCTGAATCTTCGTACCTGAAGTCATATCCTATGCCTTTAGAGAATTCACCTAAAAAAACAACACTTTAATCAGTTTTTATTCAGTTATCTTTCCTAGTTACAACTCCAAATCTTCAATTTAGAATGCTTTTAGTTAAAAGATCATGTAGTTAAACGATTACAGGTGATTTCTGGAAATTAGAAAGATACTTATCAACACAAAGTAAAGCATTTAATTGTTAACTTTATCTCTTGGATATGTGTTGTCGGTTGTTCCTTTTTTGGTCATCATCAAGTAGGAGGTAAAGTTTGATGGGACAAACTCAAACTAATCATAGTTCCAAACTACGAAATAAATATATATATATTAGAATAATCTTATCCTTCCATTAAGGAAAGAAATGATACATAGATTAGGATAGTTGAGTTCTAGATCCAATTTATAAACAGGAAGATAGTTGTCTGGGACTATGTCTCCCTGAAAACTTTTAAAACATGTACTTACGTATCAGTATTTTTAGAAGAATTTAAAGTCATACAACATTCAAGTATAACAGCAATAACACACCAAGTAGTTTAGGTATACAGAAATAATTATGTTCAACAGGTGGCTCAAAGTCCTTGGTTCTAACAACAACAGAATTTGTTGAAGTGGAACCCTCCAGTGTTTCATCACAACTAAGGCTAAATCACCTATTAAGATCTGAAGCCTTATCTCAATAATAGTACAACTGTCTAGGTAGCTGCACAAGAAGAATTAAATAGAACACATTAACTTTAAGGGTACATTTTATAAATATTTTCAAAACAGTAAATCACCATTTGGGAGAATAATTCTAGGTTTTCTAAATGTCTCATTCCATAAAATTATTAAGAGCAATTAAAAATGATCCTACTGACAGAATTTCAGTTTCAATTTTTTATTTTATGATTGCTTTTATACAACAATTTGTGGACTGTAGAAAGTATCTGCTGCTTCAGCATTTTTTTGAAACTGGAGAATTTTCCAGTATTAAAGTTACAAGCAGGAACTTCTGGGCAACATAGTGCTACAGTCAGAAGTATCATGCTGTCCCTCTGCAGCAAAGATCAGAAAGACTAAGTCAAACAGAGTCACGCATCAATCTTGAAACCCTAAGCATCAAATGAAGAGATAAAGAACTCAGCCAAGCACCGAATGAAATAAGAAACTGACCAAGAACAAAGAGTGAGGAGAGATACATGCAGAGGTCCCCTATCAGCTACCGCAGCATGGATCCACTATCTTGGACTCCTATCGGAGATCAGCAAACAGGGGGTACGAGAAAGCAGCTTCACAGAGCTTCCAGCAGGAGACAGAACAACCGGTAACCAGGGATACACGCTTTCCCACCCCCCACACTTCTTCACCCCCACTTAGCCTGCTCTGCTTCACCCTTCTTCACCCCCACTGAGCCTCCTCTGCTTCCTGCAGTCACAGTCTCTTGGCTGGGAAGCACGAGCTTCATCCCGGTGTCACTTGGATTCCACCACCAAGCACTGGCCGGCTCCCTGAGTGTCTTTTGTTGGCTGCTGGTGTTGCTTTCTTCTGCTTCTTTATATTTCTTACTCACGTCTTACCACCTCCCATTCATTTCTCTCAAACACCTGGCTCTGCGTGCCATCTTTGCTTCTTCCTGAAAGGCTGAGAAACACTGCTCGACTGTGAAACTGCTTCTCAGCCCAAGCTGCCACGCTGGTGGGACCCCCGGGGTTTTCTGGTTTGTTTGTTTGTTTGCTCTGATTTATTCTGTTTTGATTTGTTTGTTTGTTTTCTTTTTCTCTTCTCAGCTTGGGAGCCCTTTCTAGCCGGACAGTACCATGCAGCTTGGAAGCTACTCCTTTACTCTGAGCAGACGCACAGGGACATTCCTGGGGGAATTTCTTTTTTCTTTTTTTTGTTTTTGGTATTTTTTTCTTTCTTTGTTTTGTTTTCTTCTCTCTCTTATTCCCTTTTTGTCTTTCTTCATTTCCAATTTCTCAATTTATTCATTTTTTTTCTTTTTTTTTTCATTTTTGTTTTTCCCCATTTCTCAGTCTCTCATCTCTCCACTCCACTAGCAAGCTCCCTTAGCACTCTCTTTTATTTGTGTGTGTTTTTGGCTCCTGTTCCTTTCTCCTCTCTCTCATCTGTCCCATACTCATCTTAGCTCCACACATCACAATCCACCCCTTCCTTCCTGCCTACCTGCAACATGCGCTGAACATCGCACTCCCAACGCACAGCCCACCTGCTCAGACATAACCAAATAAAACAAAAAAGCAGGATAAAACGAACAAATCAACAATCAATAAATGAGGAAAATAACCACTGAATGCCCCAAAGACAGCAGACAATATCAAAACATTTACAAAAACAGGACAGGATGGTTCCAGTAGGCGTCCAAAATAAAACACCAGATGACCTTCCAGTAGAAGAAAAGGCACTAGACCTAACTGATAGGGAATTCAAATCTCTAATATTAGGAATTATCCAAGAGTTGAAGCAAAAAGCAGACAAAAATGAGGAAGAAATAGACAAATTCACGGAAAAGGCAGACAAATTCATGCAAAATACAGACAAAAAAATGGTGGAATTCAAGAAAACAATACAGGCACAAAATGCTAAAATAAATTCACAGCTAGAAATCATACAAAAACAACAATTAGAAATCCAAAAGATAAACAACAAGATTTCAAAAATGGACGGTGTCATAGAAGGGCTGAGGAGTAGGTTTGAAACAATGGAAGACAGGATCAGCGAAATTGAAGACAAACACTTGGATACAACTCTGTTGGAGGCATCAGAAAACATAACGAAGAAAAATGAAGAAACCCTGAGAATTATGTGGGAAACAATCAAAAGCAAAAATCTGCGAGTGATCAGAGTTCCAGAACAGGGGAAGAAAACACAAAACACAGAGAGATTCGTTGAAGAATTGCTGATAGAAAACTTCCCCAATATCATGAAAGATGAAAAGCTGACCATCCAAGAAGCTCAACGAACCCTATATAGGACAGATCACAAAAGAAAATCACCAAGGCATATCATAATCACACACGCTAAAACCAAAGACAAAGAATCCTGAGAGCAGCTCGAGGAAAACAAAAAGTCACACACAGAGGAGAAACAATAAGACTAAGCTTGGATTATTTGGCAGAAACCACGCAAGCAAGAAGACAATGGGATGACATATATAAAATCTTGAAAGAAAAAAACTGCCAGCCAAGAATAATATATCTTGCAAAACTCTCATTCAAATATGATGGTGAAATTAGGTCATTTCCAGATAAACAGAAATTAAGGGACTATGTGAAAACCAAATGAAATTTACAAGACTTATTAAAGGGAGTCCTTTGATCTGAGACCACACAACATCAGACCACAGGTTGAATATAGGACATAGGATTGTACTAGCCAGATACCAACCTAGGAAATGAACTCTCAAGGACTATGCAAAAACAAAAGAATTACAACAGGGAACCAGAGAGGTTAATCTGTAAATGACAACAGCATCAGAACAATAAAAGAGGGATTAAATGGTGTAGGTATAGAACCTTCTAATGGAGAGAAAGGCAAGGTGATAATAGACTGGTTCAAATCTAGGAGGATAAGGGTAAATTTCAATGTAACCACAAAGAAAGTTAACAAACCTACTCATCAAAATAAAGAAGAAAAACACAAAGTCTCAGTAAAAACAAAATCTACAAAAAGAAAAGAAATGAAAAAAAAAAATCCACAAGCGAAAGGAACTCAGCACAAGAGAGTAACAGGAACAAAGAAAATGTCAGCACCACAAAAAAAAGCACTACAAAATGCAATCCCACTCCTAGGAATATATCCTGGAGAAATAAGAGCTGTCACACTAATAGACATACACACACCCATATT